GCTTTTTTTCTATTTTATGGTTGGTTGTGTCTTTGCAGGTTTCTTTGTCGACTATTTGAACATACATTCTCTTATCTCTTGCTTCCCATCAATATATACCACTTTTTTTTTTTCTGATGTGGTTTCACATTCAAATTCAATTTTATAGACTCCATCACTTAAAGCAACATCCCATATGACTACAAGATCTGTCATTTCCCCCCAAGTTATAAAGAGGGTGCAGGGTCTCATGGTCAGGTTAGCTACTGTTCACCACTGGGCCTCCCAGCCATGATGGCCACTAGCTGCTTCACAGCAGGTTCACCTGACGCTGCCCCAAGCTAAGTGTTCATGCAACTCATGACTAGAAAGTCACAATACAAAGGAGGAGGAAATGGGCATTAATTACCATTGTAGTGGAAACCTGGCTCTTACCCAGGCAGAAGAAAAGACAAGCAGTACTTCAGGAATGGTGTGGCCAGGAAAGCTTTAATTCACATGTATGTGGACCCAGACCCAGAATAAAGACAGCCTTCTTTTCATGCACAATTCTCAACATTTGTTACACAGATTGATAGACTCTTTTACAATAAGCAAAACCATTAGTGCCTATGGATTTATCTACTAATAAGCCTAAACAATGTTTCTGTTCATGGGAAAAAAATCTGAAATTACATTCAGTTATCTGTTTGACATTGCCTGGCTGGTGTCTGGAAAATGTGGTATTACTCAGTGTCATTAATCGACACAGAGTTAAAAAATTTTTGTGTATCTCATGGGACTCGGCACAAGGGACAGAATGCAGTGAAATGATGCTGCAAAGGATAAAATGAAACTAATTCACTTTAGACTTTAATTCTTTAGCCTCCAGAGACATGTAGTATTTAAATATATGGGGGAAAATGAAAAAAAAAAACTGCTACCTAACACCACAAGTTCACATTGTATCAATGGCTTAAAAGTTATATAATTGAAAAATGAGATGCCAGGCATTTGGGCCCAAAAAGGCAAAAATTAAATACTTTGAAACTTATTGAATAAGATCATTTTTAAAAATGTACAGATTCTTCCCTTTTTAAAAAGACTGATGGCATTTCCTGATTTGTAATAAGCTTGTTTTTCTTCACACTATTGAACTTTAGGAGATCTTTATATATGGTGAACTTCAGTTTTCTATTGATTAGCTCACCTACACCTGAGGGTAGTACAGAATTCCTCCTGCAGCCAGACAGGAGACAAGCCTGAGGCAAGATGAAAAGGGGCCAAGTAAGAAATAGAATGGATCTTTATTTCTCATCTCCTCATCTCCAGCCATGGGCCTCCATCACATTGCTCTCAGGGAATCCTGGCAATACGAAACATAATTTTTGGAAGGATTTCTGGGGGGGGCACTGGGAATGTTTTGTTGGCCACCTGTTCCATGACACTCAAGATGACGCCGTGGGCCTCCTGGAACAGCTCAGCACCCAGGAAAGTCTCCACTCGTTTATGCCATGCTGCCAGCTTTGGCCGTCCCTCAAGCAGTTTGCAGCCAAGAGCCATGGGCTGTAAAGGGTAAAGTGAAACATTCATTTTAGACCTTAATTCTTTTTTTTAAATTTATTTATTTATTCATATGGAACTGGGGTACAGGCCAGAGATGCGGAGGGTGAGAGGCTTCACCAGAGACAGAGTGGGGAGCAGAACAGGCAGATCAATGAAGTACACTGCTGAGGGGAGCAGCGGGCGGGTCAGGAGAGGTCTGCCACGCCATGTGGTCACCTCCGGGGCAGGAGGGGATCAAACTCATGCAGAAGTGGCTTAAGCTTCTCAGTGCTGTGCTTTAACCCGCTGTGCCACCAGGGAGGGCCCCTAGACTTTAATTCTTTAGTCTTCATGTGCTCACTTCAGAGACAAGTAGTATTTAAATATATGGGGATAATGAAAAAAACTGCTACCTAAAACCACAACGAGGATAGGAGGACTGCTGATACTGAGGTCCCAATACCGGGAACCACAGCACGGGTCTCAGATCCCTTCACTCAACCCCATGTGAAGCCCAAGTCACTGTGGCCAGTTTCAGGACCTAAGAGCACCAGATGAGACCTCACATCCAGGAGACAAGTAGGAAGTTAGGGCTTCAGCACCCTAATTTCAGCCAGAAACTTGTTCTGTGATTCTGGGCAAAATCCTGACTTTCTCTAGGCCTCAGTGTTTCTGTCTGTATCATGGGGGTGGTGACAGTAGGGACACTGCTCCGCCAGCCGAGTTCATACCTGCATTAGCTCCTCAAATGCCATGAGGTCAGCCAGCGTCATTTCCTGGCTGACGAGGAAGGCCTTGCACCCCAGGAACTTGTCCTCCAACTTCTGCAGTGCCTGGTCCATGAGGGTCTTGTTGCGCTCCACCTTCTCCTCAGGCACCTTCACTCCAATGAGCGGTATCACCACCTGATGGGGGCAAAAAGTAGGCTGAGGCTGTGGCCCCAACTCTGCCCAGGTGCCCAGAGGTCAGCCAGCCCTAGGGAGTTCTCTTCACCTGTGTCCACAGGGGCACACCAAAGGTACTCCGGATGTGATCAGCATGCCAGCCCAGGTACTCATGGATGCGGAACTGCAGCTCCGGTGGGTACCAGTGTTCAGCTGTCTGGTACTTCGTGCTTAGGTAAATCAGGATGGCCACACTGGGGGACAGGGGCAGGAACAGCGGCTGTGAGGACATGCCTCTGGGTTTTTACCCACAGGTGCTGGCAGCCCAGGAGGCTCTCTGCATCTGATGACCCCCACCCCAAGCTTCACCTACAGGCCCAGGCCTCTGGGCACTACCTTCCCTCCCCACCCTCTCTGTCTCCTTTCCTTCCGTTTCAGATCCACCTCTGCATAGACCTTGTTTGGCACTCTAAGAACCTAATGTCTGGGATGTCCTAGAAGCTGCCATAAAGATTCTAACCCTTAGCACACAAGGAAGCTAAGGCGCAGAGTAGTTAGGTGACACAGCAGGTGCTCAGATGAGTCCCCCGCACACTGAATGCATGGGTTGGGGACAGTGGGGATAGCCTCAGATCCTCCCACAGTCACCCAGTCATCATTCCTGGCATCACTGACCTCTTGACTTCTTTCCGTGTCGTGCCTGGACCCGAGCTATGCCCTGGAGCCCTGGCAGACTCTGGAGCATAGACCAGTGAGTCAGGAGTGTACTTGCAGTTACTATTTGTCGAGCTACTCTCCTGGACATGGACAAATGTCCCCCTTGTCCCCTCTATTGCCCTTGAGGCTGAGGATGGAGAGTCCCTGGGGTTCAGAGGAGGTGACTGAAGACAAAAGAAATGCAGAGACATGCAAGGTCACCTCTAGAGACTCCCAAACTGTCTGTTCTTATCACACCCAACCTTTGTCCTCACTGCCTTAAGGATCGCAGGAGGAACACAGTGGAAGAGCCAGGGGTCATAGTGGACAGAGGACAGGGAGAAAACCTTTCAGTCAAGACGAAGTCACCATCTTTAAGGGTAGGCAGCTTCTGGATGCTGTTAATCTGGGAGAACTCCTTAGTCACGTGCTGCCCTAAAGAGGAAGAAGTCAGTAAAGTCTAGAAAAGCACAACTACTCCTGTTCAGTTCTGCTTCTCCTTTCTGAGTTCTGAGTTCTGGGGTTGAGCAGGGCAAAGCAGCGTCTAGGGCAGAGGACTCAGTTTATCCCACTCCATGGGTGGGCCTGCTTTACTGACCCAGGAATGGAAGGGTATTCCTGACTCTTTTTTTTTTTAATATTTATTTTGAGGCTCCCTCATGGCACAAGAGGTTAAGTCTCAGCACTATGAAGCTGTAAGCATCCACTGCAGCACGAGTTCAATCCCCCACCAGGGAGCTGACCCACATGGCACAGCAGACCTCTGCTGTCTCACCCACTGTTCCGCTCAACAGTGTATTTCATAATTTGACACTGGTGAATCTTCTCACTGCCCCCTAAGCCCCCGACCTCTGGCCCATGCCCTAGCTCTTAAGTGCCTAAATGATTTAAATAAAATTTTTTTTTAGATTAAAAATATATATATTTATTGGGCCCTCCCTGGTGGTGCAGTGGGTTGAAGCATAGCACTATGAAGCTATCCAAATCTACTACAGCATGAATTCCATCCCCGACCTGGGCGCTGACCCACCAATCCTGGCAGACGTCTCCTGAACCATCTGCTGCTCCCCTCGGCAGTGTTTTTCAGATCTGGCTGTTCTGCTCCCTACTCTGTCTCTGGTGAATCCTCTTACCCCTGCAGCTCTGGCTTATACCCCAGTTCTAGTGTGCATTAAAAAAAATTATTTTCTGTATGCATTAAAGAGATTTATGCGTAAAGTGCTGGGGCATAGGCCAGAATTGAGAGGGAAAGAGATTCACAAGTTATGCAAATTCCTGAAGGAAGGGAAAAGCTCTGAAAAATCAGAATTTCCACTGCTAACTTATGTTACGACCTCCCTTTTTTGAATAATCATAATATCAAAATATTCTGAGCAACCATCAGTTACAACTGGATTGCCTTAGCCTCATAAGGTAGCTGCCTGGCCAGGCAAGCAGGTGCTGACCCAGGGTAGGAGATTTCTCTGCCTCTTAAAACAAAAGGCAAGCCCCAGGAGTGATAACACCCCCAGGGCATAAAGACTCCTGGGAAGCTTCCTCGGTTTTTTTAAACAAAAAGCAAATCTCAGATAAGACTCTCAGGGCTATCATGGACAATTTTCTAACCTTGTTTACACAGGTGTTGCTTAATGCACGACTGTACAACTTCTTCATTTACTCCTTTTTAAATAATCACTAACTACTCTCTGCTAGCCTTAAATTAGACATTAGCGTCTCTTTAGACAATCACTGATGACTCTGCTAACACAATTTATTCCTTCCCTAAGGCCCCTAACAATCTTTTGCTAATAGCTCATCCTTTCCCAGACCCCTCTTCCCTTGAGTTATAGTTAAACATCTATATACATGACAATGATCACAAATGTGTATAATTTAGTATACCATAAAGTGTCGGGAAGAAGATGCATTGCTCCCCTCTTCCTTGAGAACGTTTATGACAATTTATGGCAATTTCTCATTAACTTACCCAATGCATTATTGTAATTAACTACTTGCTACACAGTATAAATAAAGACCTGTTGAGAAAATTCGATGGAAGACTTGCACCCAACTCTGACTCCCGTGTCTGCTTCGCGCCAGCTTCCGTTTCCCCTTCTTGGAATCTCTGCTCACCGACACCTTCCCATCTTAGGGCCTTGCCTGTCTCACCACCCCAACCCCTCAAAAGCTTGATTGTTGGGGCCAGTCCCCAACAAGAGACAGAGTAAGGAACAGAACAGGCACATCCACTGAAATACACTGCTGAGGGGAGTAGTGGATGAGACAGGCGAGGTCTGCTGTGCCATGTGGGTCAGCTCCCTGGCCAGGGATCACACTCGTGCTTCAGTGACTGCCGATCGCTTCATCATGCTGAGACTTAACCCCTAGGCCACCAACGAGGCCCTCTTTTGCCTCTTAATCTTCACAACAGTGTAGCCTTTTTCCCACATTTTTTCGACCCATCCCACAGAATAGAAGATGACATTATCCTCCTTTTCAGAGAAAAACTAAGGTTCTGAGAGGGTCTGTGACCTGTCTAAGACCACACAGCTCAGGGCACTGGAGAGGTAGGGGATGGTAGGGAAGATGAAGGGAATATGTGACATGCCTGAGGAATTCTTGGAAGAAGTATGAGTATGGAGCCAGTGGCTACATGAGGGGCCCACTGACCCTGACCATACCTTTGAAAATCTCCACGGTGCGCAGCTCGAAGGGGATGCCGTTCTTCTTGGCGAAGATGTAGACGGCGCGGCAGGGCTGGGACAGCAGGTCCAGGTAGAGCTCCAGGCCCATGATGGAGTGGCAGAACAACCAGGACAGCAGCTATGGCAGGAGCAAGACAGCCAGAAGATAAAGGGTCTTAGGCCCTGCCCCTCTGGGGCCACAACCAGGGTTGGGGTGTCCACCTGTGAACGCCCATCCAGATCCCATGTGAGCCCCACCCTGGCCATGAGCCAGCCTGGTGGCCCAGGCCCCACCCTTGCTGACCCTTTCTCAGACTGCAAACCCACCCTGCCCCACGCCCAGCTCCAGACAGGAGCTGTGTTTACGCCCAGCAAGGGATGCTGCAGAGCAGAGCGGGGTGGGCTGCACGCACACTGACAACTCTTACCTGAGCCACTTGAGCAACAGGAAGGGTGCTCAGGTGAAGAAGGCAGTCAAGAATGGCCTGTGGGAAGTGAGGAAAGTTGTTAGGGAGGCATTGCTTTTCCTGTGGCTAGAGGTCCTGTCTGGCTCCCAGGCCTCATCCTGATTAGACACCTGCTGGCTCCCAGAGGTTCTCAGAGCATTGACCTCAGAGAGCCGGCAGAGCACTGACCTCAGAGAGGCTTGTTTCTGTGGCAGGAGCCTTAGTGTCCAGCCATGAGGGTAGATGGGAGGGATTTTTTTTTTAAGATTTACTTATTTATGCTTATAGAACTGGGGTACAGGCTAGAGGTGTGGTGGGTGAGAGGATTCACCACAGATAGAGTGGGGAGCAGAACAGGCAGACTGACGAAGTACACTGCTGAGGGAGGAGCGGGCAGGTCAGAAGAGGTCTGCCATACCATGTGGGTCAGTTCCCTGGTTGGGGATCGAACTCATGCTGCAGTGGCTTTGGAGAGTTTCATAATGCGGTGCTTTAACCCATTGCACCACCAGGGAAACCCGATGGGAGGGATCTTACAGGTGGCCCAGCAGGTTGGCATATTTACAGATGTGTCCCAGGCATATGGAACCCTAAACTGAAAAGCTTGGCTTAGGGAAGAACATTCTATAATCTGAACTGTCCCCCAGAGCAGCTGCCAGAAGAAATGCAGAGCTGTACCCCAGTGAGTGTACATGAAGACAGGCAGATCTGTGCCAGGGATCACAGGATGCACTGTCCAGACAGAACTTCCCTTCTTCTTTTCTTCTCCTTGCATCTCCCCCTACTTCTGGGGTATCAGTAATGGTTCAGGGCAGTGAATCTTTAAATAGACTGTTGTCCCTAGAGAAGTGATCAGAGTATTTCCCTCGAATTCTTTAAATTGAATTCAAGAGAAAGGACGTTCTTCTTGGAAGGGAAGTGTAGGCCTCATGGGCTGGGCCCCCAGGTGGTCACGCTGTTCCCAGAGAAGTCAGATGGCACTCAGAGAGGTGGAGAGACAGATTTATTGTCACACTGGCAGGCTCAGTGGGACCAGTCCTACAAGTCTGAGCCCCGAATTACAGGAATGATAAGGTTTTATACAGTTTGTATGAGGAACCTGGTCATCCCATCCATCATAGCATCAGCATTCTTTATTGTCTGGGACAGGTGCCAAGGGGACCATAGCTTCTACTGAGGACAAGCAACACACTGTAGGAACATTCTGCTCTAGCAGGCACCAGAATCCAAGCAACAGACTCTCCCAAGCAGCAGGCCCGGGAAGTAGCAGAATCTAAGCAGAAGACTTGAGAAACTTACAGCTTCATTTCCCCCCTTTTGATATCCCTACTAAGTGCTAGAGAATGTCAATTAAAGACTCATAGGAAGCACTAGGAAAGAAGGTTAAGGGTTCATATTGTCAAATTAAAATTTGAAGTTGTCCTCCCAAGAGAGACCCTTCCATGTATTTATTTGAGCTGAAGTATATTTTGGAGTTGAATGATAGACTTAGAAACGACACCTGACTTATTGCCACTGAAACAACAGTCTTCATTTAGATATAGGCAGAGGCCACATTGGAGAGCTGTGAGAAGGTTGTTGTTTTGTTTTTTTTTGAGAACAATAGTTCCTAAAGAGTCCATTTGATCCTGGAAGTCATTTAAAGACTGGGCCATAGTACTTAGGTTTCGATTGACTTGTTGGGAGAGGACCGTGAACTTGTTCTGTGCCAGCTCGAGACCTTCTGTCCTCAAGTCTATCTCAGAAGAAATACCAAGGGCCACAAGCAGTTGGGTGGCCAGGGGGATGTGTTTTCAACAATGGCCAGGGCTAGTGTAGGAGAGTTGGGTGGCCTGTTATCAAGGATGAGTAAGGGTGAGGCACAATGTTGGGGACCGAGGCCGGCATCTGGCGTCTGTCAGCAGCCATAAAAAGGTGAAATGGAGTCCGGATAGAGAAAAACATCTGGGTTGCAAAAGGCATGTGGGAAGAACTCCCTGCCCCCACCTTTTCCTTTTCCTCTTTC